ATGCCGTAGCATATCCAAAGCAGTATAAAATCGCCATCGAATCTTTCCCTCACTCCTTACATCATGATTGCAACTGATCATGCTGAGTATAACTTTCTGCTGTGCTGAGGTATGGATTACGCTGCATCGCATTTCGTCCGGGCTTTAAAAGCGCATTCGGTCAGTGGGACACGATGACACTTCCTTCTCAAAGTGGTGATGTTGTCTTCTCTCAAAAATATGACAAACAGGTGGAAAAAAAGCTCTTTTTTGGAGCGGAACGGGGGAAGGAGTGGGAATCACGGGAAAAATTGCAATTTTGAAAAGTCGGTCTATTGCTTAATCTTCATTAAGTCAATATCTCACATAGGCAAGTCAGAAGGTCCTGTTGGAGGTAAAATTGCACAATAATCACGTGTTTGCTGTCACAACTGAAAATTTATATGTACTTGACAGAATATATTCTTACCTTAACCAGTTAAAGAGTTTTTTCTTCTGCTTAAAAATTCTTAAGAGGATATTTTTCTCTCTTTCGATGAATCGAGTTACCTGACTATAATGATGAAATTATTTTCTCTGAATACGGATTAGAGGCGTTTTTGTTTCTCTCTCGTTTGCAAAAGAATGTCGATACTTGATCCACGGTAGATTTTTCAGCCCGCGGTAAAGATGGCTTCTTAAAGCCCCTTCGTAGTTCTGGCGGAACTGGTTTCGTGAACTCGAAACGATTCAGTTTATTTTTACTCTCAGATACCCCACAATCGAAGAATAAACTCCTTACAAGAACCAGTTCCTAGTTAGGGGATGGGGTGATGGAAAACAACAGATGATCCAATTGACAACCATTAGCTCTATGTTTAAAAACTATGGGGCTTCCGTGTTCAGCAGAGGCAGGTGTACCATTGGAATTGTCTGGCAGATTTTTCTTATACTTCCTCAATATTCCCATCAGCTGCTTTTGGATAATCTACTTGATGTGGGTGCTATATCTCTGACAAAACATGTTGAATTCTGACATTTTTTTTTGCTCGTCCCCTCCCCCCTACCCATGTTTAATAGGTAGAAGACTCGACGCGGAAAGGTATGGAATGGAAGTTGCGTGCATGGCTATTTCGCCTTCAATTCTGGAAGTAGGCCAGAAAATATCCTGCGTAAAGTAATAGATATCTGTTCAGGGATTTGTGTCTAGTTTGGTCAAAAAGTCTTGTCTCGTGGTATATTAGGTTATACTCCGACTTGATTATTTTTAAGCTAGCTCTGTTTTTTGCTGAAGTCTTCGTAGCGTATTTAAATATTATACAACATTTTGCACAGAAATTTCCTTACCGAGGAAACAGTACCTTCTCAGCGTCGATGTGCAAAACGCCGATCCATTCTGCTCGACAGTATGTGCCAATAGGGAGATAGGAAATGAAATTTCTGAAACCTCAAAAAATTTTCTCACATCATCGACACAATTTCCCGGTATTCTTTATTTATTTATTATACAGTCTTCCCTACCATTTAACTGAAGTACGCATAAACAAACTTGTATAATCACTTTTTGTAGGTACAACATAGAGGTATTTAGAGTAAGTTCCCCAGTATTATTAGGAGTTCAATTTACGTTTCGCCCTCAAATTCATCAGCAAAGGGAAAATTCTAACAAGTTTGGATAAATATGTTTTTATTACATTATCTGGAAGATCTTAGGAATATGATATCTGCCCATGTGTATAAAATATACCCGCAATGACTCTAGTGCTGTCGTTAAATTAACAAATGTCTCGAAAATTCGAGAAATTTTACTTTATAAAGCTTACATGAATAAGGTGCATAAAATTTTCCATCTCTACCACGGAAAATGCGCGATGGATACGGATGGTGTATTCGTTTGCCTCCGTAGAAAATTCCTCCACTCCAATACGTCCTCTATCAGTTTTGGAGGATGATGAATAGGTTGGTCGATTCAAATTAATTTTTCATATCTAAAATTGATTAGTTTGTATTTGGAATATTATCACTGCTGATAAAATTGATCATTAGGGGCCACACTCATTTCTCTCTACTCAATGAGCTGCAGTTGGAGGAAATAGTGATGAGTAAGAATTGATTTATCTTGTTTTCACAAATTTTTATCAGTAGCCAAACGTGCTCTACAGCGCATTAACTTGTTTGTAAACAAACATTTATAAGAGGTATTGAATTTACAGTTATTCGGGGTGCAAAATGGGTGGATAGTCCGGTCATATAGGGATTTTATGCGGTTTTGAGGTCCAGTTACACGATCAAATTGAGCCATCAAATTGGGCCTCTCATTGGTCGCATCCTCATCTCAGGTCTTTTTCCACCAATCAGAGCTTCCGTTTGAAGGCTCAATTTGATCGTGTAACTGAACCTTTGAGAGCGGAACTTTTTTTCTCACCTGATTCCTCATCTATAGAGGGTCCTTAACGAGAATCCAAATTTACTCCGGCAAATTATGAGAACCCCCAAAATAATATAAAAAAAACCGCCAAAAATCGGCTATTTTCTCTCGGTTCTCGGCTAATATCGCAGCTTTTAGTCTCATTTATTTTGGCCTCTCTTTGGCCAAACGCCGATCGATTTTGAGGAGGCATGAGTGTAAGGTCCCAAAGTTAGTTCTTCGTGTCAAAGGGGAAACCACTAAACCGTGGATCAGACGTCGCACATTTCCTATCAACTTTTACTCTTTCGAAGGTTTTTGACAATCTTTTGTAAAATTTTTTTGCCGAATCCCGGATATTCTTTAAAAATTTATGCAGAAATGTCCAGTAATATATTTTATTTATTTTTTTTTTTTAAAAAAAAAAGAATGGGATGATAGAAATGAGAAGATCGCATTAGAAATCCATGTTTTCATAGTTTCACCGTCGAGTTCACGGTACTGTAGGAAGAGGTGGGCCGCAATAATGTGGTCAGGGGGCCATGCAGAAAGTGCGGCAACAGAGCCTGGTGGCTTCGGTAAACAAGTTGCGCATGCGGTCGAGCGCGCGCGCACGGTCACGCGCACGTGTTATTGCGGTGTTGCGTGTTGCGTGTGCGTATCATGTGGACAGACGAGCCGAACGCACCGCGCCACACCGGACCGCACAGCTTTCTTCTAGTTGAATGAACCCAATCCATGTCTGCAAGTCGTCAATATGCGCAGACACGCTACATACATCAGTAATTTTAATTTTTAACGTGTAGGTATGAATAAAAGAAAACGTAAAAAATTAAATAAAATAAATTAAATAAATCTAAAATTAAGAAAATTAAAAAAATTAAATTAAATAAATACGTATGTCCATTGAAAGAACAAAACTCCTATGAAAACATTGAAAAACACAACACATGTGGTAGGAACAAAAAATAGGTGTCAAAAAAAAACACAATAATAAAAAATCAACAGAAGAAACGGACACGGGAAAAAATTGAAAAGACAAAAAAATGTAGAGGAAAAACAAACCGAAAAAATTTAAATATATATAAGTTGGTCGGTAAAATTGGAATCTGTACGCAAATATTCGACATTATCACAAACTCAAAAACCTATTTTAAGTCGCTATTAAATTTTTGCTGGATTTAACAGAAATACGTTTTTATACATATTTTTCTGAATTTTATCATGCCTTGAGACTTATTAGTCTCTTGTTTAGGTACTAGTGAGAGGCAATTAACATAAATTAAATAACAGAAAATGAATACACAATTATCACTCTGATTTTGACGTATGTTTCAGTGCTTTTTTATGACATTTTCCGTATTCTATTTATGCTATCATAATAGCTATGTGAACAATTTTTTTTCATATCTTACAAAATTCTGCGAATGAGTTTTTGAAAAAGTTTTATGTGAATGACAAGTTAAGCACTGAGACTGTGTATAGACTGTGTACTTACTTTTAAAACGAATGATACAGCTATAGCGATTAAGTAATCCAATAGCCGACCTGCGCACAGAGTTAGATTCGAATCATCGTTTTGAGCGTTGCCAGACCATCGAAAATTGTATTTTAAATTAAATTTCCGAACATTTTTCAATAAGGTGACGGATTGAGCGCTTCATCATAATCCATAGGGGCTCAAACCCAAGTAATGATAATGGACATACTGCGTTAAGTCCTGACTATTTTTGACATGATTTTTTTGTGAAATTAATCATCAGCTATCTCCATTAAACCGAATGGACTCATTGCAGCCAATAGCAAACTCCTTGTCTTTGAAAACAACCTCAAAGACATTATGACAATATGATAAAAATATTATATTTACTCCAGATTGCTTATGATTTTTTTCCATCGGTATGCACCCTCACAAAGCCGTATGATCAGTCTGATTCATACATCCAGTGGCGTGGCGTGCTTTGCGATATATCGATTGATCTACCATTTAAACCCAAGGAAAAGGATCGATTATTAGGGTGTTTTGCAGCGAACACCCTAATAATCGATTCTTCACCACATCTCAAATGGGGAAATATCGATAATCGATCATTCACGCCTCGCCACTACATACAGCCTAATCCTTCACCCATAATTTAAACACGCAGTTGTTTACCCGTGAAGGAAATTACTATGGTGCCCGAGCATTTTGGCGCGAGTCAGTCGGTCAACAACTTTATGAAAAGGAGTTATATTTACCTCTACGACGTGGATTTTATTCTTTTTCCGGCTTTCTCGCCCAGACTCGTATTGCGTAGAACTATGTCTACGATATTACATCCACATATTAACGGATAGAGGTAGTTGACATTGAAGTTGTTGACTTCAATGGGCCATCTTTTTGATTCGGCGTTACAAATCCACCTGGAGGAAGCCAAGGACATAGGCAGACTGTTGACTCCACTGTTGCCTCCCACGGCCTTACGCAATGCACAACCAAATTTTTTCAGTGTTTGTCGCAGCATGAAATAAGTTGTTTGTTTCGGAATTCTGTAAGCTATGATCCAAATAAAATGGAGCTTAATTGATTCTGCCTAGCCCACCAGTCAACAATTAAATTTTAATTTTAATTCAATTTTGTTTCTGTGTGTTTCAGGAAAGGCTCTGCAGAACGCATTGACTGTTTGGACTCGTCTGTGACTCTTGTGACAGCCGGTCAGAGTAGTCATTGGTTCGACTTGCCCAAATTCCTTGCCGAAGTTGAAAGAGTCCTCGTTCCTGGTGGCGTTCTATCCATTTACGGTCATTACCTCCCAAAGCTCAGTCACCCCACTTATTCAATTGAATACTTAATCGAAAAGGTAATTTATATTTTTACGTAATACCCTCGTATCTCCAGGGACAAAACGAATTGTAACTGTGCACTGTGCACAGTATTCTGATGAGCATAAATATACGTTCAAACTGATTGCTCCTTCATTTCGGTGGCTATGCAATCAGGGCTTCTTAGGAGTCAAAATAATTGTATCACTAGAACTATTGCTTCTCCGTATACTTCGTTTCAGCCGCTACGTCTACAGTTTTTTTTCCTCCATGAAAAATTGTCGGACTAAAATGCACTTGTCCTTTGCTGTAATCGAAATCAACCTAACTTTAATTCTTAATTTTGAGATACTTGTAACTTGATAGTAATGTTTTATTGTGTTTCTGTTTCATTTTAGTTCCTGGTTTGCGGAAAGCTAACTGAATATATGCCCGAGGAGAGCAAAAAAATTTACATGGACCGTTACACTCATGGTTATGAAAAATTCCCATTTTCAGAAGAGCCAGTCATTCGGTAAGAGTCTTGTTAAGTCGACACAGTTCACGTCCTGATTGTCATTCCCCTTTATAGAGAGCACGCAACCATATCCAGGAAGAAGAACAAAATCAATTACTATTGGATCGAAAATAGTTGAAGGATATTAAATTTAGGTTTATAAATTAGGCTCCTTCGCAGAGAATCATGTCAATTTATACCTGTCGGTTTCAGCTCTAGTTTTAGATCAAATTTTCCATGAAAAAACTAAAAATCGACAAATCTGAGAAAAATTGAAGACATTAACTCATAACGAGATACTGTCAAGGAAATGATACTTTTCGTTGTACTGAATCTGTTTTATCTGCATGCATGATGACATAACATGGAAAAAAATAAGTTGTAGTTGGATCCTAATTTTTAGGGTCTAGCTACAATCTATTGGATGAAATTTTCACTTCTAATTCATTAGGGTCAGACTCTCAGCTAAGGCTGTACCTAAATCCAAATGAATTGAGTTCCAGCCACATTTAATAATAAAAATCGACCATTTCATCCAACATGTTAGGCCTGAACCACTGTCTCTCTCTTTCTCGTGGGAAATTTCAAGTCACTCCCGAATTCGTGTCAGGAAGTTGCGTCTCTCTGGCGCACATGCAGAATACGTACACTGGAAAAAAAGCTCCGACCGTGGAGGTCGTTTACAGGCTATATAGACATACCGTCCACATTCCGGGCTCAGAGGCTGAAAGTTCCGGGCTTAGCACCCGGAGCAATCGAAGCTACGGCTCCAGCACCCGGAATTTTCGGCCATTGACCCTCAAACGGACGGTATGTCTATACTGCCATGCTAAGGAGGAACGCCGTATGAACATTCGAGAGTTGCCAAATTTCACTCAGTAAAGTGTTTATTTTTGAAGAAAGTTATCAATCTTTTTCCTTGAAATTTTCAAGAATTTTAGCTGAAATTGCGGACAAATTTATCTGAAAAATTGGAGCGAAAATATTTATAAGTTTCCTAGAAAATTAGCGTTTTATCAAAGGAAATTTGGCAACGCCCGAAGGTTCATACAGCGTTTTCCCTTAGCACGGCAGTATACAGCTCATGACTTCTTTATTCAGCGTGCACTGCTGCCTCCGCTGACAATGGCTAATCATTCATCAAGGAATAATATTCTTGGAATAGCCTCGGAGAAAAATACAGAGTATACCTATCTCGCTTTTTCATTGAATCGATTTTTTTCTCTATGACCTTTTATTTTTTTTTATTTTTTTTATTTTTTTTTTCAAGGGATGAATCATACTCCGTGGAGCTCCCAACAACGGTTGCCGATGTCGTGAGCTATATCAGCACGTTCTCGTCTATCACAGCTTACCGAGAAAAACACGGTGACAGAGCCACCGCTGCTCTCCTCCAGAACTTTGAAAATGAGTAAGTGTGACTTTTCATTCATTCTATCATGCTACATATTAAAATAGTAAATCACAGGGGCGGATCTAGGGGATGGCCACATGGGTCGCGGCCCATGGCGGCAAATGTTGTAATTCTTTTAAATAAAGGCGTAAAAAAAATCGGATTCAGAAAAAAAATTACAGACGAGAAAAGGTGATAAAATTCCTCATTTCCTGAGAGTATAGTAATTTCTAATTTCGCGTCTTCTGGTGATACAAGAGACAGCCCCTTTAATTAGTCGAGTTAAAAGAGAAACCAAACACGCCAATTGGCCTGGAACGGCGCGGCGCAGAGAGCAATGATGACGAGGACGAGATGAAAAAAAGAAACCCTCGGCGCGGCGGTCGGCATGTAACACATATCAGCGCCTACAAGACTGCGTGAATACTTCACGCATTGCATCAAACACAGTGCGGTCAGCGTGAAACGCATAGCGCCTACAAGACTGCATGCATACTTCACGCATTGCGCCAAACCCATTGCAGTCAGCACGGCGCGGCGGTGGAAGTTAACATTATTAAATCACATTTATGTTTGTTCTCTCATAAATTTTTCGTTCATTTCTTTGAATGGAAGGCCTCGTCCACACAGAGATAGGTATACGGAATTTAACTTTTACGCAAAGTTCTGTGAACTTTTGCTAGTAGTGTTGACAGGGTTTTCGAAAATAATGTGTCCAAGAAGAATTAACGCGTCTAATGCACCCCTCTCCCTTCGGCACGTTCACTCAATGGTTTTTATTGATGTTTGAAAACGATGATAAGGGGGCGGCAAAATACAGGCGGCCCACGGGCGGCAAGTTGGTAAATCCGGCCCTGGTAAATCAGAGGAAAAAATGCGTAATTAAATTGTTTATAAAATTCGAGTTTCCGCATTATCAATATGTTCAAGGGGCTGTGTAAAATAGTTTGTCGTACGATATTCGACGCTTGATGTGAGATGCAAAACTTTGAAAATCGCAAATTACATCGAAAGAAATGAGGCCACCGGCAGTGGCGTGGCGTGAATTGCGATATATCGATTCGTTTGCCATTTAAACCTATGAAAAAGAATCGATTATTAAGGTGTTCGCAGCGAACACCTTAATAATCGATTCTTTACCGTAGGTTTAAGTGGCAGATCATTCGATGTATAGCAATTCACGCCACGCCACTGGCCACCGGGCAATTTTGACTTGATACCTCGAAATGGAAGAAATATTGTCATTATAGACCCCTCTGCTCTGTCACTGGAATAATTGTCATGAAATTGTATCATCAATTACGACGGAGAAAACTAGTTTCCTGCTGTGATAAGAAACTCGCCGTGTCGAATAAGTAACTCGGTATAGACGCCAAGTAAAATTTTAGATGCGATAACGAAATTCTCCTAACGGCAATGAATTATCATTAATTTTTTACGAATTTTCAAATCTTACACAGTGTTTCATTTTTTTAACATTCGATTGTGTTTTTGTTTTGTTTCCAGACTCCTGGACAGCGTGAGGTCGAACAAGAAACCCGAAGAGACAAACCTAAGCATACTCTTCCGATACATTCTATTGATGGGTAGAAAACCTTTCTACTGAGGATAAATATCTGTAAATAAGATTGTAAATAATATGACTAGGACCTGTTTCGCAGCTTCTTGCTTTCAAATCAAGGAGACTTTGACTTGTACATTTTCCCTCTTTAGTTGGTTTTGTGATCATTATTTATTGTATTTCCTAACTAACTTTAAAAGCCCAGTTACCGTACGTATAATACAACGATAATATCGTTACTCTCGGGGGCGTAATATTGTTTGACTCATCACGAAAACTTACCCCCAAACGTATCCAGTTGTAAATTTAATTTTTTTAATCAAAAGGCGTGGGTACTTTAAAAATAATATTTAATATATTAATTATATTAATTCGCCGTCAAAAAGCCCCCATATTTGTGATTTAGATCTCGTGAGATTTTGCCCAATTATATTTCGTGAATCTCATCAATATAGCGGAGGTTGTGTTGAAACTAACCACAATTAGTTGGAAGGTATTCATCTTTTGAGGAAAGCTTTCTTTTTTAACTGGAAAAGGACGAACAAGATCAATCAGTAGGTATTTGAAAATAAGTACCTAGATATAAGTGAAATAAATGACTCAGTTGACTATTAGACATCAAAAGTAGATACCTTCAGTACCTCAACGCACAACTTTTCTCAACAGTAAATCGTATGAAAAATTTTCAATGCCAGAATGATTGTGATAGATACATTTTTTAGTTCCCTCATCGAAAAATATTGATTGTTTTCGTTCAATGGTTCGAATAATATGATTCTTTACCGTGTAAGAGCTTAAGTCATTAGATTGTAAGAATTAGTGATTATTTGATAGATGATAAGGATTTATTGTTTTATAAGTTGGTGTTACAGCCGGAATCAAAATAAATAAGTTTTGAAATTATTAGGTATGTGTACTTTTTTCTAGCCTATCTAGACTTATAAGCGGAGACTGGGCCGAAAATTCCAGTAAAACAAGTAGGGTGAAGAAATAAGTGAATATTGACGATTTAGACCGGGCCTTGTCTGTGAGCTTCGAGGAAAGCGCCTCGGTAAAGCTACGATGCAATTATTTCTGCTCATAAGATAGTGGAGTTGCATGAAGGAGAAATTGAAGGCGCTTCGGTTGCTCTTGGTTTAGGCAAAAATGTACACGTTGCGGCGATGCCTTATTCCAGTTGTGCGACTGCAGTCCGTATAAAGAGCACCGTAACAACTTCTTATGTTCAGATTTATCTCCTCTCTATATTTTTCTCCCTATCAGGGGAAATATTATGAATTATACATGATTTTAAATTAAAAAATATATTACCGTATTACGAAAATTTTTTATTGTCTACGAGCTTCATGTTTTATAATGTTCAATGCATTTTGTACACTTTAAAAATGAAGTGGTTGAATTTAGTAAATGAGAATTTTGAACACAGGAAATGAACATGATAAGTGTCAATCAGAGTCAGGTGATTTTAGACTCAGATTGACTTTTGGATATGACAAATGAGAGCCCTGGTACATAGTATTACATACTTTATCTTCCATATTATAGTAAATACTTTTATTGCCTAGATCCAGAAATCAACAGGGTACAAAATTTCCATACTTTTATTTTGAGACTGTTATTATCTCACATCATCACCAATAATTTACACAATAAGTTTACTCATTGAACTACTCGGTATTTCGTAAAGGTGAGGAAGAGTAGAATGACCGCTTTTACAGTAAAAGGGCACTGAAAGTGAGTCATGACTATTAATTTGACGCATTTCCGTCAAACGGAACTATGTGCATTATAACGTGAGCCCTGGTATGCATGTATTCTTATGGGTCTCAGGGCTCATATCTTAATGCACATACTTTCCGTTTGACAGAAATGCGTCCAATTATGAGCGATGCGGAAACAACGGTTACAAAAGTCAGATAAGAAAAAGAGGGACACGCACTAGAATGATTAGTTAAGCATTGCAGTACTGCACCATGTTGATTGCCAAGTTGTTGATTCAGTTGCGATGCGAGAATTAACATTTAAAACAGAGATGAAGAGATTATATTACTGAGAAAAAATGACCTCAGTGCAATGAGGAGTAGATTTTGCATAAACTGTCTCAAAAAACACTCCAAAATCTCAAGAATTGTTCCATTGAGTTCATTTCAAAGTTTCAAAAGGTGGAATCGCAAAATTGAATATTTTTGGGAAATCTACTGAGGGTGAATAATGATTCAGCATCAGTAAAACGGAACCTCTGTTCTTAAACCACACTGTAAATTTATGATACGAGTAACATCTGGGACCTCAAAGATAGCATCACACTGGAAAAAAAACACATTGGATGTAGAGTCCAGACTCTTGAAAAAATTGACAAGAAAAAGGACTCTTGATTCAATCAGATTTAAGCTTAAATCAAAAGAAAATCCGCTCAACTTAAGAGGCTTGGTTCTTGGTTTAAGCTTAAATCTGATTGAACCAAGAGTATTTTTTCTTGTCGATATTTTTAAGAGTCTGGACTCTAGATCCAATATGGTTTTTTTTCCAGTGCATTTTTGAACTGAAAAAATCTGAGCCTCCGGTTAAAAAACCAGGGGTAACGAATCAAAAGCAGATATTTCAGTAATCAATTACTTAAGCTAAAATGATGCTGTTTTTGACTAGTAACAAATCTCTTTTTTAAATCGCTTTTACAGAAATAAGAATTTTATAAAATTAGTACAAAAATCAAATTTCTTCAACTTTGACATTTAGGCTGTATAGTTTTACAGACCTTTAAGTTTTGTTTTGTTAAAGGGTTAAAGTTTTAAAGAAGTGTTAAAACCAGACCTGGGGCTAGCAATCGAAAAAACCTACAGTAAATCTATACAGATAAAGTATTTACATCTCCATCCTTTTGCTCTGGAGAGAATATGCCGTGTTGCGATTAGTCGACAAGTTTTATGACTTCCAGAATCGTCCTTTCGCTCTTACAAATAGTTTTGGACCAGGTTAACAAATAAGACGATGACAGAGTTCTGGACGTAATAAAGAGTATGTAATTTCCATCTTTGGAAATGAGTTTTGAACAAATTTCGATGGATATTTCTGCCGAAAAGTAAACTCTCTCTGTAAATAATATTTATATACATCACTCTTGAAAATATGAATTCTTATTGATTAAGTTTGTCCACACTGATCCATAGAGTTCCATGAAAAGCCTAAAGAGCTGACAAACAGGAGAGAGAGAGCAGCACAGTCTGGTCAAAACAAAGCAATATTCTCCTTACTTACTGAAGAAAGAATCTCACTATTTCGAGAGAAAATTAACGGAAAATTTGGCAACTAAGGCATCACTGCATCTATGAGGCGCGAAAATTTGAATCGAACGCGGCAGATTTGATTTGACGGACTCATGATCGGGGACGCGTCACAAGCCTCAGATTGAAATTACTGTTCGGAAAGTCTTGCTCGATTTGATTCTTTTCAGTAATTATTAACGCTAGACAAAATTCAATAAGATTGTAGAATTTGTGATACTTTCAGTTTTAATTTGAGCAATATTCTATTAAATTTGAAGCAATAAGACGCTGAGGAGATCAATTTTCCTGCGCCTCTGTCAGCGCGTTCCCGACATCTCCAGGCCCAATCGCTCGATAACTGTATTAAAAGAATAGCAAATCAACGTCGTATATATGCTGCATATGCTGCAACGAGCATATATCGACGGTGAAACTACCAAACCACGTATCTCGGTTTGCGACGTCGCAGACTTCCTGTCATACTTTATTTTTTAAATGAAAAACTACTTAACATCCAGTCTTGAAAATTTCTGTGATTTTTCCTCTTTGTGCGGGGAAAATTCCGTGAAAATTTCAAGGAATGATATTGATTTGGTCTACTTCAAAAAAATAAAATGTGAGCGTAGATTTTTAAACAC